CCAAACATCCAAACATACAAACTTTCACATTTATAATATTAGTAAGAAGTAAGATTAGTAAGAAGTAAGATTGCCACTGAGCAAAACTACTTGAGAAAAAATCATTAGTTTAATAGCACGAGTGCAACACCGTACACGTGATAGAAGTAAAACTTCTTAAAAAAGCACATGTGTGCGCCCCACACCCAGTAGAAATCTTAACAACAATTAAACTACGAGGCAATCAGACGAATACAGTTGTTTATTGTATCCAAAGTTGGTACCAAGTTGATAAGTTTTTATCATTTCTCATATTTTTTTTTATTTTTAATTTTTTCGAATACATATCATCGTTGATATCATCATATCCTTGATCATTCTTTTTCGCTTTATTCCGTATTCGAAAAACTATGTGTTTCAATGGACACATCGATTTGAATACATAATTTAGATTTAGAGAATATTTTTAGCAATTTATTTGAGAAAAATAAAACATTTAGTTTATTGTTTGTATTTTCGTCGATTTTAAATTTGCTACCCCAAAATAATTGATATCAAATAAAACACCTCTTTGAGGTAAAATTTTCGAGTGACGAAAGCTGAACTAGAAACACAAAATTTAATATATCGATTTCGTGACGAAAATTATACGCATTTTTTAACTGCCGTTCAAACGTACGGAAAATCTTTTTTTATTTATTCGGAACGTTGCGAATTTCCGTTTACTGCTAGAAACACAATTAAAAAAACAGAACTTTTGCAACGATTCGTATGAATAAAAAAGATTTTCCGTACGTTTGAACGGCAGTTAAAAAATGCGTATAATATTCGTCACGAAATTGATATCATAAATTTTGTGTTTCTAGTTCAGCTTTCGTCACTCGAAAATTTTACCTCAAAGAGGTGTTTTATTTGATATCGTATACACATAATATGTAATTACGTATTTTACCAGACTTAAAATGTCTCATTTTATTTAGTTGATAAAATATACGACCGTTTAACAAACTTATATATTTGTATATGTATTAAAATATAGGATAGAACAAAGAACTCCTTTTTGTTGCATAATACTTTAGCAAATATAAATATGCGGATTTTTGAAATATTAAAAGTTAAGGCACAGATATATTTAAAGCCCAATTTATGATGTAACTTTTTAAAAATTTCTTGATTAATTTTTATATTTCTTATTAGAATTGAGTTGAAATTTTAGAGTTATGTGAATATTGTAAACAAATGTTCTGTCTAAAAATGTGGCACATTTAAAGCCTTGTGTGGTAGTAGTGGTAGAAACCTAAATTTAAAAAAATATGTGGTAGATCTACCACATGTATGGTACAGGTTTGCACACTGTTTGTAAGTCAAATATTAGTGGCATTATGCTACTATGATAGCACGGCCGAGTAATCATAGTCATTTTATGTACAGTAGTCGAAAAAATTGTAGCCGCACCAAATTTGTTGAAATTTTTTCAATAGAAGATTGCTGTATTGTACCAAGCATTTGACTACAAAAAAAAATTTTCCCATTGTTTTTATTTTGTACCAATAGCCCAATATAATATCCAAGGCGAATTTATATCATCAGCTGTGAGTAGCGTTTGATTGTCAAAATTTTGAATTTCGTTAGTGAGTGAGTGAGAACGTGAGAGTGTTTGCATTTTCTGTCGCCCTTTTTCATTCGGGGAAGAATAGCTGAATTTTGACAATGGCCCGCTGAAAGCAAAAACAAAATACAAGTAATTGCTGTATTTGTTCAATCGATACCACCTTATATGTATTCGCCTTGATAATATCTGTACAAATGTACCCATCGAGTGACACTGCCTTAGAAATTTATGCAATTAAAAAAAATCAACAAATTTTCGTAAAAATTTCGAGTTTTTAATTAGATTCTGAGTATGCAGTTTTGTAGCCCATTGAGTTCTAGTAGAGAAAAGTACAAGTTTCGAATGGCTAAAAATTACGGGTGATTTTTTAGAATTTTTAAAAAAGGTCGAAATGTGTACGAAAGTTTGATGGATTTTTTCAATATTGCACAAAGTTTGAAACTTGGATTTACATGGGTTTGTTAAAGAAGGAACTATATTTTTATAAAAAAATAACCAAAATTAAATAACAACAAAAATAATACGTTAAAACTTGGCACAAAGTGACCACTGTATGTACCTGTGTGCGTATGGAATAGTAGCTTATGTCGGGAAGCTGGCTTTAGTACAATGCGGCATTCACTTTATTCTTTAAACGACAAGGAATTTCAGAACCAGCGTTGCCGAAAACTTTCGCTGAAAAATCGTCAATTTACCCAAAAAAATCGTCATTTGGGTAAAAAAAACTTAACGTATGACTAGGCATTATAAAACCAATGTGAGTTCCCATTGTATATGGGTTAATACAAGTAATTTTTGGGCAAGAACAAAACCGACTTAAATCCTCATATAAAAATTTAAGATTCCCATAATTTCTTCATTATCTAATGATCGCATCTAAAATGAATTAGTATGGGACCACCTCTGAGGTACCACCTTTTCTTTAAAAAAAGAATTATAGAAATCGCTTAACATGGTCCAAAGTTATGCGATAACATACATAAAAAAAAAAATAATCAGCCTTATCATGAGTTTAATTTTCCCCGAACCAGTTCACTTTTTAATCGACTTTAAAAAAAGGAGGAGGCTATCAATTCGTCGGAATATTTTTTGTGTGTTTTTTTTATGTATGTTACCGCATAATCTTGGACCACGTTAACCGATTTCGGAAATTCTTTCTGTATCGGAAAGCTAGTGTCTCAGAGGTGGGCCCATACTAATCTGGTTTAGATCCGAACATTCGATCATGAAAAAATTAACGGTACTCCTAAATTTTTATATGATAATTGAAGTCGGTTTTGTGTTATGCTGAAAAATTACTTGTCACTTTTCGTTTCCATGTATTTACTATAGGCGGATGGAAAATTTTCAGGTGAATTTTTTTTTCAGGCGAAACTCAGGATAAGGCAAAATAATATCCCGATGAATTGGTGCCTCCCTCTTTTTTTGAAGCCGGTTAAAAAGTTAGTTTGTAATTGATAACTACTATTTAAAATTACACCTTAAAACACAACTGCTTTTAAATTGTTTAATTCCACTTGTTTGAGGTTTCTTAAAAGATTTTGATCTAGTTTCAAAGTGCACCGGGAGAATTTGTTAACTGATAGATTATCTTAATTGAAAAATTCTCTCTTCTATTTTTGATAGATTATCTTAATTTGACAATTCTCTCTTCTATTTTTCTTTCTCCTTCAAATGAGTGTCAGCAGTGAAAATATACGATTTGGTTACATATAACTAAAAGCACGGTGGTAGAACAAGAGTAGATAAATGCATGTTTGTATTTTGGATTACGTTTTCCTTTAACAATTTTTGTTCATACATATGTACTAAAATAAAAAATCGCAATTTCGAGGGGACAAATCGTCAAAACGTCATTGGGCTAAAAAACGTCAAAATGACGACGAAATCGTCAATTCGTCAACGCTGGTCAGAACACCTAACACAAGAGCATAGCGTCGAATTCAACAAATTTTGTTTTCTTCGTTTTGCTCGATGGTCTTTTTACGCTTTGCTCGCCACCTCACTATGTGCTTACCTTTACACGCAAAGCTCATTTAACAGATTCCCTATGTGACAACTCTCATGCAATGCCAAGTAAGCGTACCTGAGCCATAAAGGTCTCATTATGGCAACTTAAGTAACTTAGAGACTGTCACTTAAACATTCTCTAAGTGTTGCTTATATTTGGACAGCCGAAACTTAACGTACTTAAGCCACGACGAAGTCTGTTTCATTTTGATTTTCTAAAGTCTAAGTTACGTTAAGTTAAGTTAAGTTGCCATAATAAGACTCTCACTTTTAGCTCACGCTTGTTTGTGCCAACTAGGGATGTTGCGAATGTGGAATTTTAGACATCCGCGGATGCGAATATAACTACTCGCTCGAGGGGACAAACTTGAAAAACTTGAAACTTGGCAAAATTGTAAATTCTTTTCGATTGACACTGCACCCGTGGAGAGGACTTTCAGTTATATTTATTTATTTTTATTGCGGTGTAATAATTACTTTTTGAGAATTTCAGCGGGGCTGCAAATGTCGGATGTATCCTCCTGACTTGCATCTTCACAATCTAGCATCATGGCTCAATCGTTGTTTAAACAACGTTTTTTTCCAAAGAATTCTTCATTCTCATTCTTTATGTTGTTTCGGAATTGGGAGAACCTGTCACGTCATCAGCGTTTTTCGATTTTAGTTTTTGTAACTCATTTTTAATGCTTTCTTCTGTTACTGGTTAGATATACGTCTGTGCGCTTGCACAATATTCCAGGTACCGAAAATAACATTTAATTTTTTCGAGTTAAATTTGGCTAATATATTTTTTTCCGAAATAAACGTCCTATCCGGATAATAAACAAACCGCTTATCCAAATTAAACAAATTTGGTATCATATGAAAGAGGAGTGAAATAGCTTTTAAACAGAAATAACCAAAAAGGTTACCACCTCGATTTATATGTTTTTATATGGTATGTATGGTAATTAATTAAAATTTTTTATTGAAATATTTTTCAATGTGTGGCTTTCCTCGTTTAGACATTTCAGTTTTAAAGCTATTTCAGTCCTCTTTGATTTGACACCAAACTTGTTTAATTTGGATAAGCTGTTTGTTTATTATCTGGAAAGTATATTTATTTCGGAATAAAAAATATTTGGCCAAGTTTAACTCGTAAAAAAAATAACTGTAATTTTCGGTCCCTTCAATATTCGCATTCGCAAAAGATCCGCATTGATTTTTGCGAATGCGATTGTTAAAATTAATGCGGAAGCTCCGCGGTTGCGAATGCGAATGCGAATATTCGCAAAAACCCTGGTGCCCACCTCTGAAAAATAAGAGATCCTGAATAACTCAGTGAGAGGGGAGACCAGTATGTTTGCATGTATGTAT